CATGAAATGTTGAAGTTTATTTGTACCACCTAGATTGTCTTCTTTTATCTTTTTTTAAAATACAGGCTAGGGATGCTGTCAGAGGAAGTGAAGCAGTGGCTGGTACCCGTGCAGGGTAGCGTGGGGCATAAAGCACTGTGAAGCCCATTCATATCCCTGACCTGCTCTCTCTTTGTCCCCTTACCCTGGTCCTGTGTCAGATGGCAGTGTGCATAGCCCTTTGGTAGCCTCTTCTACAGGTTGCCTGTGATGTTGAAGTTGAAGGGACAAAAGACAGACATGATTTGTTCGCCTTCATGGGCTTCAGGTTGTCCCTGTATGCTCCAGTCAGTTCCTCTTGCCCACTTCATGGTCGGCTTTCCTGCTTACCTGCCGGGCCTGCCAGCCCCAGATTCAATGGCCTTCCATGGGCTTCTCATGGAAGCCCTGATTCTGTATCACTTACAAAGAGTCTTATGATCTAACCTGACTAAGAATCAGACAACTATGTATCTCCCTATCTTAGCTAGTATTCAGTTGTTTGCAAAGAACATAACCTCCTCTATCTAGCTTTTTTTAAGGAAAGATGTTCCCCCCCAAAACAGGCAAACCACTTGAGAAGATATTTTATCAAAAAAGATACTAAATAACCAATAAACCTGTAACGATGTACTCAACTCATTAGGGAAATGTTAATTAAAACCATAATGAAATAGCACACCCACTGGAATGGCAAAAATTTAAAAGATTGACAATTTTAAAAGTTCACAAGGACGTGGCACAACTAGAACTTGCTTGCATACCCCACAATTCCACAATTGCTGGAGAGCACAGCAAAAATGTGTGTGGATGTCCACCAAAAGGTAAATACAAGAATGTTCATACCAGTTTATTCATTAATATTAAAAAGAAAAGAACTCGAAACAATCCAAATGTCCATCAGTGTATAAAGAATAAATGAATTGTGGTATGCTCATATAATGGGAGATCACACAGCAGTTTCAAAAATTTAAAACTGCTGGCACACAACATGGATGAGTGTCACAGAAACTTATTTGAGTGACAGCAGGTAAGTACAAAAGAATGCTAATGTATGATTTTATTTATGGGAAGCTCCCAAACAGGAGAAGCTAAATGACAGTGATAGAAGTTAGGATAGTGGTTACCTGTGGGTGGTATTAAGTGGGAAGATCCAAAATAGAACCCTCTGGAGGGTAAGGGGTAGATCTGGGTATGGTTGCAAGGGTGTATGCATGTATAAAAATTCATTAGCTGTGCAGTTAAAATCAGTGTATTTTATATATGTGTTATGCACTATAATGGAAAGTTTTGAAAAGGGGGGATTTATTGGATGTAGGAGGCCTTTTGTCAGGTGGGTGACTCAGTAGCAAGACCACCTTTCTCAGACAGGGGGAGCATCAGAGAGGAACTATACCCACTCTACTATCCCCACAAACACCTCACAGACCTTCCCCCTGCCATACAGAAGGTCTCGACTCATTTCTCTGGACTGAATGTCTAGCTGGTGCTGAAGAAAACATGAGGCTCATTCACCCATAAGACATGTTAACATGGGCATGAAGGCAAGAGCCTGTATCTGATAGCATGTTTCCATCAATAAGGCAATGCCCCATGGAAGCTTCTATAATGTTCTTTTATAACCTGTTCTACCTATCATGGGACTTGAGGTCTGGATTATGGACCCCATTCTCAGGGGGTTCTCTGCTCCAACCAATTCAATCCATCAGATTCAAGAACTAGGCATTCCATTTAATTTCAGCTCAAATCATAAATTGGCTGTCCGTTACATAGCAATGATTTCATGAAATATTAAAAGTAAAAAAAATAAAGTGCTACATAAAATATATATATATGTGGATATATGTCAACACAGCTGGTATATATGTGCATTTACATTCTGATATATGTGCATGTGTATATAAATATTGCTATTATTGCATCCATATCCATAACACACATACATACACACATTCTGAATCTACACGTTTTTCCTGAAGTGCCATCCCATCTTTTTTCTTATGTAGGAAGTATGAATCCCAGTCCACAAACCCAGATGTACAACAATGTAATTTTATTTTCTACTCCATATAATTTCTGACCCTAAGATTCCATTCTACAGAGCTGGTGGGAAACTTAACCCCAGTCCTTGGAGCCGCCCTCTCTCCGAATTTTGGCACCACGCTTGGGTATTTGGAATGGTGGGACTGGGGGCAGGGGGCACAAATATTTCCATTGTGCCATCCATTGTTGCCATTTGTGTGGCCACCTGAGATGCAGCAGCTTACCACTCCTGTCCCTTGGACACAGACATCTTTCTTGCTCCTGCCTACAATTCCATTTGCTTCTAGAAGTTCTTTGATTTGATCCTAGAAGCACTTTGTCTTCATCCACAAGTCCTTCTCCTTTTTACCTCCCTAGGCATCCCCTGAGCTCTACTAGAAGCCTAGGATTTTTGAAAATCAGAAGCCAGGAAAACCCAGGCTATTCCGTTTTCAACCTACCACCTGTCTTGCTAATCCATTGAAGTACAAGGCAAGTTACTTGCTTGAATGGAGGAGAAAGGAAAGAAGAAAATAGGGCAACGTGTTTATTAAAGGTGTGGGGGACAGAACAACCCTCCCCCCCCACACACACACATACAATGTTTCTCTGTGCCTTGGTGGAACCTGTGAATAGGAAGATGTGATGCCTTTGGTATTGGGTTACTTTATACTTTCAGATAGGGAAGTTGTCCAGGGGTACCCAACCTAATCACATGAGCCCTTGAAAAACAGCTTCCTCTGGCTGGAGGCAGAAACGGAAGGCAGAGATTCAAAGCATTGAGAGCTATTCCATGGCTCGCCTGGATGGCTCAAGTGGTTAAGCAGCCAACTCTTGACTTGGGCTCCAGTCATGATCTCAGTATTCATGGGATGGAGCCCCACATCAAACTCTGCACTTGCAGCACAGAGCCTGCTTGGGATTCTCTCTCTCCCTCTCCCTCTGCCTCTCGCCCATTCATGTGTGTGTTCTCTCTCTCTCTCTCTCTCTCTCTCTCTCAAAATAAATAAACATTCAAAAAAAAAAAAAAAACCATTGCG